CTTCTGGCCCTAGGGCATGTCCCTCTCTTCCTTCCTTATTCTCTCCTCCTCCTCCTTCTCTACTCTATAGCCTAGATTACTCCTCCTACTTATTCTTTCCTACCTAGGTATGGGATATTTGACTTTTTTTTTATTACACCACTTAGGTGCCTCAGTCAGGCAAGGTGAAACAAATGTAACACACCTTCACATAGTTAAAGTAATATTCTGCATCTTAAATAAATATAACACATAGTTAAATATTCCACAACCAAGATTTAAATGTGATGTGCCCATTTGATGCCACTGGGGTCTTGAGGACCTGCTTTTGTGTATATGATAAATTACCGTAAAATGGCTAATTTCTCTAAACTTCATTTACTTTTTGAGAAGCAGTTATAGTTCTATATTTGGTTTATTGGGGGATGGCCTTGCGCAATAAGTAAGTAAATGTTTCAGATCTTAGTTGGTATTTAATTTGTGCCCATTCCCTCTCTTTTTACCCTCTTCCCTTGCTCAATTATTTTTCTATCTTCCACATACATTTGCTGAGGAAAATACCATCACAACTGTATTGCACAACTTTTCTCTGGCTATGATAAAATGTCACAATCAAGATAAGTTATAGAAAGAGTTTATTTGGGTTTACTGTTCCAGAAAGGTGAGAGTGGCCAAGTGGAAGAATGACACCTAAATCAGGAAGTTTAGAGCTTACATCTTTAAAAGCCTGCAGCACAAGAAGAGAGAAAGCAAGTGGAAGTTGCAAGGGTTTTCAAGCCCTCAAAACCCATCTCCAATGACATATTCCTTCCAAAAAGACCGTACCTCTTAAACCTCCACCAAAAGCACCGCCACATGGAGAGTAAGTATGAAAATACGTGAACCTGCGGGGCATAGTCTCATTCAAACCCCCGATATGTGTCCTACATAATAGAAACAAAAGGAACATTGCCAAACTCTTTTGATGAGGCTATAGTTACCCTGATACCAAAACCACACAAAGACTCAACCAAGAAAGAGAATTACAGACCAATCTCACTCACAAACATCGATGCAAAAATACTCAATAAAATACTGAAAAACTAAATACAAGAACATATAAAAAAATCATCTACCATGATCAAGTCGGTTTCATCCCAGAGATGCAGGGCTGGTTCAACATACAAAAATCTATCAATGTAATCCATCATATAAATAAATTGAAAGAAAAAAACTCATATGATCAATTCATTATATGCTAAAAAAAAGCATTCAACAAAATCCAACACCCCTTCATGATAAAGCCCTTGGAGAGATCAGGGATATAAGGAATGTATCTAAATATAATAAAAGGAATATAGAGCAAGCCAACAACCAACATAAAATTAAATGGAGAGAAACTCAAAGCGATTCCACTAAAATTAGGAACAAGACAAGGCTGTCCACTGTCTCCATATCTCTTCAACATGGTTCTTGAAGTTTTGGCTATAGCAATAAGACAATAAAAGGAAATCAAGGGGATTCAAATTGGAGAGGAAGAAGTCAAATGTTCATTGTTTGCAGATGATATGATAGTATATATAAGTGATGCCCAAAACTACCAGAGAATTCCTACAGCTGATAAATACCTTCAGTGATGTGGCAGGATACAAGATCAACTCAAAAAAATCAGTAGCCTTCCTATACACAAATGACAAAGAAGCTGAGAGGGAAATCAGAGAAACATCACGTTTCACATTAGCCACAAATAACTTAAAATATCTTGGGGTAACACTAACTAAAGAAGTGAAAGATCTATTTGACAAGAATTTTAAGTCTTTGAAGAAAGAAACTTAAGAACATACCAGAAAATGGAAAGATCTCCCATGCCCTTGGATAAAAAGGATCAGCATAGTAAAAATGGCAATCCTACCAAAAGCAATCTATACATTCAATGCCCATCAAAATCCCAACACAATTCTTCACAGATCTTAAAAGAACAAAACTCAACTTCATATGGAAAGAGAAAAACAAAAACAAAAAACCCCAAAAAACAAACCCAGGATAGTCAAAACAATCCTGTACAATAAAGGAACTTTCGGAGGCATCACCATCCCTGACATCAAGCACTATTACAGCGCTACAGTAATGAAAAAACAGCTTGGTACTGGCATAAATACACAGAGGTTGATTAATGGAATTGAATCAAATACCAGAATATTAGTTCACACACCTATGAACAGCTGATTTTTGACAAAGAATCTAAAATTATACAATGAAAACAAAAGAAAGTTATCTTCAACAAATGGTGCTGGAACTACTGGATGTCAACATGTAGAAGAATGAAAATAGATTCATATCTATCTCCATGCACAAAACTCAAGTCCAAATGGATTAAAGTCCTCAATATAAATCTGACCACACTGAACCTGATAGAAGTCAAAGTGGGAAGTAGTCTTCAATGCATGGACACAGGAGGCCACGTCCTAAATATAACCCTAGTAGCATAGACACTGAGAGCAACAATAAATAAATGGGACCTCCTGAATCCGAGAAGCTTCTGTAAAGCAAAGGATACAGTCAATAAGACAAAAAGGCAGCCTACTGAATGGGAAAAGATCTTCACCAATCCCACATCAGACAAAGGACTCATCTCCAAAGTATACAAACAACTCAAGTAATTAGACATCAAAATTCTAAATAACCCAATTAAAAATGGGGTACAGAGCTAAACAGAAAATTCTCAACAGAAGAATCTCAAATGGCCAAAAGATACTTAGGGAAATGTTTAACATCCTTAGCTATCAGGGAAGTGCAAATAAAAACAGCTCTGAGATACCATCTTACACCTGTCAGAATTGATAAGATAAAAAACACCAATGGTAGCTTATGCTGGAGACGATATGGAGTAAGGGGAACACTCATCCATTGCTGGTGGGAATGCAAACTTTTACAACCACTTTGGAAATCAATATGGCGGTTTCTCAGAAAATTGAGAATTAACCTACCTCAGGACCCAGAAATACCATTCTTGGGCAGATACCCAAAAGATGCTCAATCATACTACAAGGACATTTGTTCAACTATGTTCATAGCAGCATTATTTGTAAAAATCAGCACTTGGAAACAACATAGATGCCACTCAACCGAAGAGTGGATGAAGAAAATGTAGGACATTTATACATTAGAGTACTACTCAGCTCTGAAAAAACAACGACATCTTGAATTTTGTATACAAATGGATAGAAAACACTATTCTGAGTGAGGTAACCCAGACCCCAAAACATGAATATGGTATATGTGCTCACTCATAAGTGGATACTAGCTCTAAACAAAGGAAATGGAGCTTGTAGTTCACGATCTTAGAGAAGTTAAGTAACAAGGTAAACCCTATGGAAAATATACATAGATCTACCTGGAAAGTGGAAATGGACAAGATTGCCTGACAAAATTGGGTGATGGAGGTGGGGGAAGAAGGGAGAGTGGAAGTGGAAAAGAAGGAGAAAAGGGGAGGGCTGAGGAGAACTTCAGGGAATGGGATACTTGAGATGGAGGAAGGACAGAGATGAGAGCAAGGAAAGAGATTATCTTGATTGAGGGAGCCATTATAGGATTAGCAGAAACCTGAATCTAGAGAAATTCCTAGGAATCCACAAGGATGACCCGAAGCAATAGAGGAGAGGGGACCTGATCTTGACTTGCCCTGTAGTCTGACTGATGAATATCTTAAATATTGCCATAGAATCTTAGCCCTGCATCTGATGGAAACAGAGGCAGAGACCCACATTGGAGCACTGGACTGAACTCTCAAAGTCCAGTTGAAGAGTAGGAGGAATGAAAGTGTGAGCAGGGAGGTCAAGACCATTGTGGGTACACCCACTGAGACAGTCTACCTGAGCTAATGGGAGCTCTCCAACTCCAGCCGGACTGGAAAGGAACAAGCATAGGACCAAACTAGTCACTCTGAATGTGGTTGACAGTTGTATTGCTGGGGCAGACAGAGGGGCCACTAGCAGTGGCACCAGGATTTATCCCTACTGCATGTATTGACTTTAGGGGAACATCTTTGGATGTATACCTTGCTCAGCCTAGATATAGTGGAGAGGGCCTTTAACCTTCCACAAATCAATGTGCCTTACCCTCTCTGAGGACTGGATGTAGATGGGATGGGAGGGTATGTGGAGGAAATGGGAGGAGAGGAGGGAGTGGGAACTTGGATTGGTATGTTAATGAAAAATAGTTTGTTTTCTTTTTAAAAGAAATAAATTTTAGAAAATAGGTGAGATGCTGATGGTGCATAATGAAACCAAACCTACTTTGTGATTCTGAATCATGGGTATCAAGTTTAAGATGAGAAAGGGTAAAAATGTGGAGAGAGAGGGAGAACTACCATGAATAAAGCATAGATTTAGCTTACGCAAGAAACAAATACGTCAGGCTTTTCTGTATGTACCCACTACCCATAAAGCTTTATATTTCCAACGACCACTAAGAATATCAAGCTACCCATATATATTCATTCCATTAATTAACTGGAGTAAATTTGCCAAGAAAAATATTACCTTTATATTTCTGTTATCTAACTTTCTCCAAGTCAGGGAAAGGACCAAGACAATCCTGTCCAAGTCATCCTTACAACTTTATACGAGGAGTCTTGCTGGATACCTGGTAGATGTTTAAACAGTAGCTGTTGAACAACAATGAGGGTGATGGCTTGAGTTCTAAGGTTACTATATAGCAGGTGCTGTATTCACAGAGTTCATGTCAAACTCATATTGAACTCTGACTGCAACCTTTATTTGTTTGAGACAGAATGTCATATATCCCAGGCTTGGCTCCTAAGTTATATAGATAACTTGTATATCTATGACATTGAATCCTGACCCTTTTGCCTTCACATTCTGAGTGCTGGGATGAGTGGTTCATCCACTTATGTGGTCCTGGCGATTACATCCAGGGCCTTGGTCACACTGTGAAAGCACTCTACTGACACATACACTTGCAACTCCCTTACAATAATCTCAAGAGTAGATAATTAACAAGATTATTTATATCTTTTGTAGATGAAGAAGCTGAAGAATAGAAAGGCTAAGCTATGGTGTTCCTGTGGGTCAAGGGGTCCCCACTCTAAGCATGAGGTAGGACAAAAGAATAAATGAACAAATGAAAAATGTATTTTCTGTATGATACCGGATGTCAAGAGGTTGAGAAATTGATAGGGTCTGGAGAGATAAGAACAAAAGAGTTACCTAATATTTTTGGTCATTGGGTAAATGGCTGGGGGCTTCAGGACTGGGAATTCATTAGGCAGAGGAGTGTGTAAGGGCTTCCGAAAGAAAACTTAAATGGTAAATAAAAACTTATGAGTTAAATTTCTCTTGTCTTCATCAGCCTGGGCCTTTATGGCTCTTTTATACACACACACATCAATTAATAGTATTGTTGTCTTCAGGGTGGTAACTATAGAATCACTTTCCAAGTCTAGTCTCTTGACCACCATTCCATTTCTGGGAGACCATGGGTTTTTGAAAATGCTAAAATTGCTCCCTTTTTTTGCAATTGTTGTGAAGCCTGGATTATCCAGGAGTCCATAAATAACATTAAACTTTAAGAGATGGATATAAAAATGCATGTAATTGCACCTGCTTTGAGATTCCTATCCATTCTGTTGTTCTTTTTATTGCCATGAATTGCATTGTTCAATAGGTGCTCTCTGTACCAGGCTCACACGTCTTCTCACAGCAGAGCAGCGCACTTTATCAACACCACACAGCCTCGGTACATAGCTCTGTGCTCTACAGAACGCAGGGCATCATTTAGTGAAGGAGGGGTGATTCTGACTCTCGGGGTTGTAGCTGTGGTTTGGGACAAATTGTTTGCCACAAGCAAATGGAACATGTCACAACTCCACACTCTCTGGCATCTCAGTCACCTTGCTTCAGTGCCTCTGCCGACAGTAACCCAACAGAACATATTGTGTGAAAACACTTCCTCTTCTCTCAGATCCCCAAGCCATCTGGAGAGGTTTTTTGTCTATTGCTTCTACAAATGGCAGGCTGGCTGGTGAGCAAATTGTCTTGGGAGAAAGCAAGTGACAGTACTTAGGACTCTTAGATCCCTTACCATAGTAAATCAGATAACATATGTGAGAGTGCCTAGCTGGAATCCTGGTGGAGCAGGTAGTGGAATTAGTGGTGGGATGGAGGGGCAGCATCTTTGCATCTTTGTAAGATTAAGTACAAAGATGAACAGCTTCTCACTGATCCATGCGCATCTACCCTGAAACAATTTGTTGTCAAAGTTCTATGACAATTTCAATTTTTAGCAAGGTGATGGGGTTAAATTCTTGGCTCTGCCAACCTTCAGTTTATAAGGGAAAGTGTGTGGCACCATTTCTTTCTAGCCACATCTTCTGATATTAGCAAAAGTGTCACATATGCAATTAGAGGGTTTCCCCAATGTGAGGATGTGGAACTAGGCACGATTGTCACGTGTAGTTTCTTACAGTGTTGCTGAACTCCTCTGGGGTCCTGTGTAGGAAAGTGAGATGCTTTCTGTTCTGAAAGGCATTCTACATGCTAATGAGATGCTCAAAGGAGGTGACCAAAGGAATTTCCCATATGCTTTTGCTCCACGTTCTCTGTTAATGACAGAAAGCAAAGCTCCACTGAGCAGAAGGGAAGCTTCTGGGACTTCCTCTACTATGAACTGGTGATGGTATTAAATGGGAACATTCATAAAGGGACTGATTACACAGCACACAGGTTCTGGAATCAGGAAAAAGTTTGAATGTTGGATTTCTCACCTATTAAGGTGGCATCTGAGTGTCTCTGGTAGCATGTGAGTGTTGGCGTCCATCAAAGATGGTGTTATCTGTGTGGCTGGCAAACCACACTGACTTGACTCCTGTGTAATGTATGCATTTGCCCATCTTCCCCTGAGGGTATGTAAACATCCAGTATATATCCTATGATTTGGTGGTCAACAATCCCCAGTTACATAGGTCTATACTTTGCTGAGGTGAACTCAACTTGGGAATTGTGATGAGTATGTCTGCAGCAGCCTTTCGTAGGTGCCTAACTCTTGCTTCACGGCAAGGTTGAGGTGTCAGACAAACATCAAACTCCACAGCAGTGCAGGCAGAGGTCAAATCTATAGTTGGCTTACTCTTCTGCAGGTTTTTCATCTTGCAGCCATCCCCGATGAGGAAGCTTTTGCATCTTCCTCGCCAGTTCTCTGCCTAAGCAACTTGATCCAGAATTTGGGAAGTACCATTGTAGGTAGCTGCTCAAAAGTGTTAGGTCAATATGTTTCTCCTTTTCTCCCAGCAATTGCTCCTGAGTTCTTCATTTGTTTTCCCTGGTAGAAAGTTTCTCTACACTTGCAGAAAGCTGAGAAAGTTCCTTAGAAAAGGGCAAAGGTGACCAATGAGTTCGATGACATTATTTACTTTTCAAGCAATAGACTGGTATTCAATACAAAGAACAATAAGAAAAATAAAAGCAGATGGGTGAGATGGAGGAGATCGTCCTGAGATTCACAGAAGAGAAACTGTGATGGCCAATACATAAACCAAAAGTTTTCTAATCTCAGTAAGAAAACATGAGCTGTTGAACCCATTCCATAGAAAATGAAAACATCTGCTCATACGGGTGCTGGCAAAAATGTGAAGCAAGACAAACATACATGTTCCCTGGTGACATTTCCTTCGTTTCACCATTTTGGACAGAAATTATTCAATATCATGTATGATTGAGGATACTTATGTTTTATAATTGATTAATTATATTTCTAATAATATCTTATTCATATTTGTTGCACATGCACAAAAATCTGGCTTATTTTTATACAGAACAAAACAGTAACAAAACATCCTAATGAAACTTGAAGATAGTTTTACTATTCATTACCAGAAGAATGAATGAAACAATTGTAGTGTGTGTCTGGAGTGAATACCAGGAAGGTAAAAGGAAAAAAAAAATCTGTAAATTAGCATGATCTAGATCGATATGGGACATTTGGAAAGCATAATAGCCAAATAAAGTACAGAAGAATATAGTCAATAATGCTATTAATTTGCTCAGGTCAGAATATCCTCATGCATTATCAAAAATGCTTATAAATATCATAAATGTATATACATTTAGACATGAGCCCTGACCTTACAAGATGCTGGTAAGGCTCACCAGGTCAGAGTTGGAAGAGATGTAAGATCCAAAGGTATGTGAATTGTTGTAGTCCTTTTAAATGCTGCGGTTCTGATACAAATAGAGGAAATTATACTTCATCTGGGGTGCAAGAGTTAAGCATTTGGTGGTTTTCTTTAAGCCTTGAGTGAATTACTTTTCTTGTTGCTATGACAAAATAATTTAAGGTAGACAGATTTATTTTAGCTTACAGTTTGAGGGTCTAGTCCATTGTTACAGGGAGGGAAATCATGACAGTCATGAGGAAGTTGTTCACATCACATGTAGAGTCAGAGAGTGGGGGGGTAGAGGGATGAGTAGGAAAAGAGTGTGGAGGGAGGGAGAAAATAAAAGATGGGAGAGAGAGGGAAAGAAGGGGGGAGAGAGGGAGGGCAGGAGGGAGGAAGAGGGAGAAAGAGAAGAGAAATTTTAATTTGTTTCGGTTTGCTTTCTCCTTTTTCTTCCCTACAGAATATGCCAGGTCCTTATCTCCAGATAATTAAGATTATCTTAGGCTGATAGTACGAGACATACATGCCTTTTATCATTTAGAATATTTTATTGAAAACTAGAATGTAATTTTTGAGATCTGTTTGAGAATCAAGCTTTCAATCATGCAGAGATATTTAATGTCCGTGTCAATGACACACAAATGATTTTAGATTTTGCTCTGCACAGTTACCCACCTAGCCAATCCATTCAAATCACAGAAGTCTTGCAAGTTTCATTTGTTCCACAGAACCTTCTAGATGATCAAATTCAACACTGGTCTTTCATGAGTTGGAGTAATATTTACCATGTTTGAACAATAATGTGATTATGGTGAATCTTGTTTTCATTTTTACATTATTAATTTTAATGTGTTAAGTATTTAAATACTATCTATTTTTAGCTAAGGATAGTTGGTAACTTTTGTGATTCTCATAAAATCATCTCCTAAATACACTTCTAAACTTAGAAGTGATACCCAAAACAATTTATTCAAAGTTAACTTTCAGTAATTAGTTAGTTCAGAATTTTTTGCATATAACTTATGAACCAGTAATCAAGAGTACACAAAGGAAATAAAAAGACTTGAATTCTTATCTGAAGTTTCACATCTTGATTAATTTCATGGCTGTGCGTGTGTTTTCTCTTCATATTAATTCATTTATTTAACCATCAGCCATTAAACATCAAGTCTGAACTAGTTACTTCATTTGAAACTAGGCATTGGAAGAAAGAATAGACAGACATATTTCTCTAGTATTTGTGATTGAACCTGACTAAATCAAAAATAGAATCTGATACCAACAAAAGACATCTAGGCTGCATCTGTCATGAACGTCCATTTGGATTTTATCTCCTAAATCAAATTATTGTAATTTCCAAAGAATGTGAATGGCACAGAGGATTATTATGTGCAATTATCTTGCCCTGGACAATCTGGAGAACGTGGTTGTAGTAATCACATGTAACTAAGTCCGATTTCCTTCTCTTTCATTTAATTTCACTTCAAATTGTCAGTGAACTCAGGGAACCCTGGGATCACATTAATGGCTTTTTGACTTCTTAAATAAACTTTGGTTATTTACACTCAATCTTATTGGAATTATGGGACCAACAGGGCAAGCATTACTGTATCTTTAACATCAAGAAAGAGCCTGAGTGTTAAAAAAATTAATTGATCAGAGCTATGAAAACTTAAGTGAGAACCAAGAACTTCCGGCCCTGAGGTAGTACTCCTTGCCTAGCAAGACAATGATTACACTCTGCGTCTCAGAAGCCTAGGAGGTGGGAAGTAGCATAAGGCATCTTGGTCTCAGAAGTTTTGACAACTTTGGATAAGTACTTCTATTTTGCAAAGGGGGAGTAGGTATTTCAGATGTAGTGGAATAAGCACCAGTCCTTGTCTTTATCCATTGGATGCCAGAGTACCTTCCAAATTGTGACAACCAGAAATATCTTCACAT